TCCAGCATGGTGCCCAGCGGCGCCTCCGATAAATGTTTCAGTGCATCGTCCACGACCTCCAAGTTTTGCTCACGCAGAATTCGTTCCGTCTCATAGGAACCTGGCGAGCATTAAAATTAACATTTTACACTCCTTAGGCACTACAACTAGCCATATTTACCCATCTGACGCCAGTCCAGTGGTCCATCTCGATACTGGCGCAGCTTGAAGCCCGCCTCTCGCATCACCTGTGGAAAATTGTTTTTGTGGCCCATTTCTGACTCATCGACAGCTGAAAATGAAAGTTCTTATATATTTTTCGACTTGATTCAATTGCTTGCTGCAATCGCTTTCGCTTTTCGTTATTTATTTGTTTTTGTCAGTGGTTGCTTGGTAACCGCTGACAGTTTGCTCCACTATTGTTGTTGACGCTGTCAGCTGGCTAGGAACTTGGCTTGAATATTGAGGGTTGGATTACCCAATAGCCCAGCCCTATTAATTAACTATGATCGTAGCTCAATTTGAGAGAACTTGACTACCCTTGGCTGACTAATATATTGTAAAAGTAAAAGTTAAGTAAGTAAAAGTATTCTAAAATTGTTTTCCCTTTAACAATTAATATTTACTATTTGTTGTATTTATTTGTGAAATAAATACCTGTGATAAAGTACCTTTCAAGTAAATTAGTATTCTTTAGAAATTTAGAAAGAAAATATTTGTTATTTTATTTATAAAATAATAGATATCAGTTATATCATTTATGTTTTTCTAGAATAGGTTTTGTTTTTTGTTTGTTTTTTTAATAGGGTCAGGAATCATTCAATTTAGGATATAATCAATGATAATTTTTAAAATATTGTAGATAATGGATAATTATAATTTGGGGTTGTTATTCACTGTATGCAAAAATATGATTAGCTTTCCCATGAAGGGTTTAGCTCTGCAACACTATTTTTTTTTATTCATAGCTAATTCATACTCTATTAATAGCACTTGTTTCTATTCGAACTCACCGACACGTGATTACTTCACGCACGTGTTAAACGTTTTACAGAATGCAATACTAACCGAAATAAAATTTATCATATATGTATATTTAAAACAATGAATTTATAATCTACAACGCCTACTGCCGGATGTATTCGCAGTTAAAGAGGGATATATGAAAAATAATATATAAATACCATTCACTAATAAAATAATAACAGCAAATACTTAGCGTAATGTCTAAATAACTTGAATACAATATTCTTAAATATATAAAAAATCCGAAAAATTTAAAGCAAATTAAATTTGGCGCCCTTTGGCCGCGCACAACTTGGTTGACAGGAGCTGCGTCTGGGCAGCAGCATTCGGATAGATCTGCTCAGTTACGATTGGACCCTGGCCGAGTGAGGTTTACATCAAATAAAGCACGCATAGCAAAATGCAARTGWTTTAATTAACYACTACAAGAAAAGTATATATAAAGTGCAATACTCTCCGAATTGCTCTGCAATTAAGGGAGAGTTAAAATGAGTCGTTGGCTTTGGTTGGCCCTTTTCCTGCTGCTGCCATTGGCAAATACAACACGTAAGTTGCTCCAAATTCGGTTTGGAAAAATCCATGGAAATTCCGATACTATGTGTGAATCGGATGCTGTATCTCCGAGCTGGCCAGCTGTCAAAGAGGCTGCGCCCAGCGAAAGAGCGAGAGAGCATGCGAGAGCGAAAGCTCGGCGTCTGCGCATTCCCTTGTTTTGGGAAATTTCTAACTATGTTTGGGATATTTTCTTTTGTTTGGGCATTTTCTATTGAGCAGCACCTGTTAGCTTCGAGGCGAACCCGGACACGAAACGTCTCTATGATGATTTATTGAGCAATTACAATCGCCTGATTCGGCCTGTGGTAAATAATACGGAGACACTTACCGTCTGGCTGGGTCTCAAGCTGTCGCAGCTAATCGAGGTCAATCTGAAGAATCAGGTGATGACCACCAATTTGTGGGTCAAGCAGGTGGGTGAACACTTAACCTAAACTAAATTTCAAGAGATTCATTATTATG